ATAAAAAATTCAAACTGTTTTTATTGCAAAAAAACTTACATATGTGAATTAATACATTCTAAGAAAATTCATCAATAATACCAAAACGTGTTATTAACAACAAAGACAATAAACATAGAAATCATGCTACAAATTATGCTACAAATAATGTAATACAATCTTCCCGTCATCTATAAACACATTATTAATTATTCCTCAGAAATATCAACAACACATGTGGTGAATGAATAAACCTGAATCAACTCACTTTATCTACATTGTATGTTGTAGTTTAGGAAAGCTTGGCAATCAAACCAAGTCATTGCAACAGTGTATGCAAGAAGACCAGGCACCTAAACCAAAAACACGGCATACGTCAACATTAAAGCGATGAACTGTAGATATAAATATAATGAAATAATGTATAAAAACACACGCTCCTAGTTTGCCCGGTAATTTTTGGCGTCATAATATTTGATTACGTAATGACAATTTATGTTAAAAATTGGAATTTTTCTATTTTGGTCGGCAGAATTTGTTTTAGTTTTGTTTCTTAGCAATAAGTTAATTTTTTTTAAGAAGAAGTTTATGTGAAGATAGGGTCTCTGTTTTTTGTGTTTTGGATGATGTTGTTTCACTGTTCATACCTTTTTGAAGCTTCATTTTGTGTGTTTTTTTTACACATTTTTTTATGTTTTTGGCTAATAAAAAAATAATCAGAAATTATTCCGTTTTCAAATTAATTTTTGACAATTTGAATTAAAAATTGATTAAAAACAAACCAAATATTATTGACAGAGCGTTAAATCACCTTGACGCAAATTTAATGAAAAATGGGATTAATGCAATTTTGTTTATTTGGTTGAAGTTTTGCTCATATTTAAAACAACATCTTTGACAGAAAATTCCACCAAAACATCAACAAAACGTATTATTCAGTCAAGTGTATTTACTGACTTAACTTATGTATAACTATTCCCTATAGTAACTTTATACAGAGTGGGTAACAATGCAAAAGAACGGTTTTAAAAATTATGAATAGCTTCATGGAGGTTAGAATTTACCTCATAAATAACAAAATCTGTAGAAACATTGATAATGACAAGTTAAATTAAGATCATTACAAACACAGATATCATGATGATATCAATATATTTTAAAAAATAACAAGACTATGACATCACATTACAAATAACATCAATGAAGCATTAACAAAACGACATAAATAACATCAAAAAACAACTACATCAACAAAAACATTAGCAAGAATACAGTCCAGCTACCCCTCTAGAGATATGCATTGCTGTTCTTTTTTTATTTGACTGTTGATGGGTCGGCAATTGCTTCACTAAATTCTTCTTATCAGATATTTGTATGCCGTTCAGTGATGTTAGCGTTTTAACGTTATTATTGATGTTATTTACGGTTATTGATGTTTCCATTTTGTTGTTTTGTTGATGATGTTAGTGGGTTAATGTCTTTTTAATGATGTCGTTAATTAGGATGCGTCTCAAATGATTTTCATTATAAATCAAGGGTTCACAAAATTTTAAAGTATTGGTTTTAGCGTTAAAATTTATTATGATTTGATTATAGCTAAATAAATTTCATGTTTGAAAATTTTGTAAAAATAATTATAACAACGACAACTTAATTTCTATTGCATAACGCAATTACGAAGGCCAATTTATTGGTCTATACAAAAAAACAATCAATAGTTATACGATTAAAACAGTGTAGAAACAACATTACAAACAACAAACATGTCTCAAACAATGCAACAACTACCTTATAAGAGAGGAAAATGTCTTAAAGCAAATGAACATCGCTATAACCGACTAACATGATTCAAAGAATGATTTAGTTGAATCCAATGAACGGCAAACATAACGATACAAAAGAGAATTTTAATGAAAGATTTTTTAAAGAAAGATTTTTTAATGAAAGATTTTTTTCGGTCTGCCATTTTCACATCGCCATTACGTTCCTTGTATTTATTAAGTTAAATTTTTTAAATTTTTATAGATAAATGGAAAAAATATAATAATAATATTAACACAACATCATCTACTACTACTACCACTACTACTACTACTACTACTACTACTACTACTACTACTACTACTACTACTACTACTACTACTACTACTACTACTACTACTACTACTACTACTACTACTACTACTACTACTACTACTACTACTACTACTACTACTACTACTACTACTACTACTCATACTACTACTGCTACTACTACTACTACTACTACTACTATTATTATTACTACTACTACTACTACTACTACTACTACTACTACTACTCTATCACTACTACTACTGCTACTACTACTACTACTACTACTACTAATTACTACTACTTCTTTATAAAATTCTACTACAATTTTACTACGACTTCTTTATCATCATCGTCAAATCTTTCATCATCATCAAATCTATCATCCTCCTCCTCCTCATCATCATCTTCATCCTCCTCATCATCAACGTTATTATTATCATCATCGTCGTCATCATCAACTCTATATATTGAGAGTAACTGCTAATGTTTATAAGCTCAGCTTGAAGTTTGCCCGTTTTAGCGTTCATTCATCGTTCATAAGATAGGTTTCAATGATTTTTTTGTGTTAGATTTTTTAATAAGAATTTTTCCTGTTACAAATCGGGTATTTTTATAAAAAAAATTATTATTTGTCTATCTATCGTAATTTGTGTACAATACTTTGTATATCATACTATGTGTATCGTATTCTTTGTATCTTATCTCCTGTGTCGTATTCTGTGTATCACAAGTTGTATTTCCTAATTTGCAGAATCAATTTGTTTACCACTCCTTTTGTTAAAAAAATTTTTTTACTCCCCATAATTTCACCTACTGTTTCTTACGTAACAATGTGCTTTTGAAGTTCGAACTGCATTTTGTCTCCTAATTGGGTTGCTGTTGCATCATCTTGTCATGCAATATTGCCTGGCGACGTTCTTTATAAATCCTGTCCATTTAGACTGAAATCTTTATAATATTTTTGTGTTATTTCACATATTTCATATTCTATATTATTGTCTTTATAACGCAACCGTTTAAGGGTGTGTATGTATTTGCTGTAATGTTTTTTCTTCCATATTGTAAACAGCCTTACATCTGTGTAGCAGTTTAAAGCGTGAATTGTATATACACACAACAGTTTTTTAAGCCGGCATGTTTGTCAATGTCGTCTTTAGGTGTTTGAAGCAAGCCAGAACTTATTAGTGCTTGCAACAAATTTTTTCTCCTCAATTTGTTTACTTGCATTGTCTTAGAGGTTGTATTTATTGCGTTGTTGCCCTGTGTTTGTTTGCATGTGTGCTTTTATATGTGCGCCTTTGCTGTTTGAAATATTATTTCTATAAGTATATGTTCGGCACATACATGCGCAAAATTTTTATACATACTTTTTATTGATTGTAGAAACATGTTTATGTAAGTAGCTTGGTAGTTAAATGTAAGACTAGGTTGATAAAATATTTATTGCATGGGACAAAAAGAAACAAATTGGAAAGAAAAAATGAAAAAAGAATGTTAAAAAAGAAATAGTTTTTTGAAAAAGGTACTAGATTCTTCCAGACTTAATTTCACAGTAAATTAAAAACAGATAAAAAAATTCAACCAAGAAAACTTTGGAAAAGATGACTGCACATGAAAATGGTAGATACATAGCAACAAATACTATCAGTATTATCAGCGGTTTACATTTTGCCTCTCCAATGAATTATTCATGAATCGCACTGGTTTATATAACGCCTACATAAATATATTTTTATATGTATAACAAAAAAAGTCATAAACAACCATAAATAAATGAGTGCATGTATTATCATACGTAAACTTTATTTACCGTTACACGCATGTTGAAATAGGGTTTTTTAGCATTTTGTGTAAAAAATATAGGCCTTTAATCGCATTCCCTTTTTTAAGACTTTAATATCCACAATGAATTAATTGTTATGAATATGAAATTTACTGGAAAAGTTGAGGAACTTTGTAAATAGCTCAAATGATGAGTTAGCAATGAAAAGAAGAATATCATGTCTAAAATAGGTACATTCAAATTGTTTTGAGTTCTGCTATCCAAAACTCATAAACGAATGATGCCTAACTTGTTGCGTGTGCAAGTCCCGTGATGTGAATGTTGCAGTTTTCATTGCACGAAAGTTAAACTGCCACCAAGTATGGAACTATATTTCATGCGTTTTTCAAAACTGCATAATGTCAAACAATGTATGAACAAATATTTGTCATAACGTGAGCGCTTGTATTTGGAAAATATATTGTTTGAATAAATAAATACAGCAATTTAAAATGTGTATGATATAAGTTATTACGCAAGTGAAACTAACAATATTATCAGCAGAACAGTTTATACACAAGATCAATAGATAGTTGAATTTAACGACATCAAATTTTTTGGCCAAAAATTGCTCAAGTAGCACAAAAAAAATCAAATTTCAAAATATTCCATAAAAATTTTCCTAAATCTGATTTAATATAGCGTAATATAGAAAACATTAAAAGCCAAAAATAAAGATAATGAGTGGTCTGGATATCATTCAGTTGGAGTTGAGAATGATTGTACATAAATTTGTGAACGTTTGCAAACACTGTTTTCGGTGACAGATAATAAAATTACAGTAGTCAGCGTGCAAAGAGGCCTGCTGGCGGGATCAAGTTCAATTTTTTTGGCTCCAACCTCATTAAATTTTCATATGGAATGATTTCGCTGTTTTAATGATGACGTCGTCGTTAGAACAATGCAAAAAAAACGGCAGGTACATAAGAAAAACACAAACACACAACTTACAGACCAACACACAGACCAACACACACAGACCAACACACACAGACCAACACACACAGACCAACACACATACACACACACATAGACCAACACAACACACACACACGTAAACACACACAACAGTTACGAACGTTTTAGTGGAATGGTGACATCACCGACGATGACGATGATGACGATGACGACAGCAGAACCAGCGTCATCAGGTTTGGTGTTCACAGGGGAAAGTGCCAACGTATCGAGACTCATCGAATCCCTTATGAAAGGATATGATAAAAGGTTGAGACCGAATTATAAAGGTTTGTATTTTAAGTATTTGAATACCTTTTATTATTTTTGTATTTGAACTAATTTGAGTATTGATACTTGTTTTAGTATTTGTTTTTAATTGAGTATTTTTACCTATTTTTAAGGTTGTACCATAACACATTCTCTATAGCCGTACATAATTAACTGTAGTTCAACTTTTTTAAATACAAAATAGTGGACTGTATAATGTTTTTGATTTCAAAAAATTATGACGAATGAATTTATGGTATAACAATGGCAGGTTTGTAGTAAATGATTGACAGGATGTAGTTTACATTTTGTCATTTTTGTTATCATTCTTCACAATTTTTTCCCAAATTTGAAAAAATAAAAAAGTTCCCCAAAACATGTGCAAACAACTGAAGCACATGCAGGCAGGCAGATGATGCTTGCAGTCATTTTACTGCCACATTTTACGGTTCGGATGATTGCATGTTGACACGCAATACCATTCCAACTACAACAATGCCATCTGTCGCATCTTTTTGGAAGTTATTTTCAAGAAATTACAGGATTGCTTCTGCTTACGTGAACATCGCTTTAATTTAAAATTCACAGCTCTTTTATTACGTTTGGAGGAAAAAAACCTCGTAAAATTTTGAAATGTGTAAAAGTTATAATTTAAAAGATAAAAATGTGCCAAAAAATATTTTTACAAAAAAAAATTGACTAAGGAAAAACAACAGCTGCATTAATCACCAACCCACAGGGCAGTTGTTTCCATCCACCTGGTTCAAACACACTCTTACCTCTCATCATCTTTATAGTTTCCAGTGCATAGTACTTGATGTGTGTGTGTGTATTTGTGTGTGTGTGCGTGTGTGTGGTGTGTGCGTCTGCATAATTTGTCAATAACAAAGAAGTTTTTATTTCCTCCAGAGAGTTTGCATTGTAGCTATATTATAATTGATGTAGTTTTTGAAATGGGATACGTGTTTTCAATAATTAAACAACACTAAGACTCATGAAACTAGAAGTGTGCGTGAGTGATTGAGAAACATGTCTTATTAGCTACTATTTAAAACAGGGGTGGGCAAACTTTTTGCCGTGAGGGGCGCATTGAGAATTTTTTTTTACCTTTGGGCCGCATATGTACTTGAATAGCAAATTTTTTCGACCCGGAGAACAAGGCCTCGCGGGTCGTATAAATTGCTTCGCGGGCTGTAGTTTGCCTACCCCTGATTTAAAAGATGGGAAAATTAATCATTGCTTTCGGAGAAAATTTATTTCAACTCCAAAAATAATGTGACAATTTCATTCAGTGACATCATTTATTTATATCTTCAAACTTCAGTGGACTTTCGTACATGAATAAAAGCTGAACTGAACTGGAAAAATTAAATGAAAATTTTATAAATTGTAAAATTCGTAACATATTTCTATAATTTTATATAATTTTTCTTTCCGGTTTTCAAAATAATTTAAATCATAATATTACCAGAAATGTTTTGCGAACCAAGTAGATGAAAATAAATGAAATTAGACTGGAAGACGATACTCGCTGAAAATTTAATTCTGCGAAAGTCGTCAACATGGGTTGATGATGTGGCTGACATGTTTAAAGAATGTTTAAAATGTTTAACATACATTTGTTTGAGTGGTTGGTGCTTGATGCGTTTGCTGCAAACTTTGTGTTCACTTTGTTCTTAATTTTTCTTGATATTTGAAATGTTGTTAAAATTTTTAAACTTTAGTTCACAAATAAATTTTCAAACTGTCAAATTTTCAAAAAAAATATTTTTAAATGCCGATCCATTTGTCGAAATTAATAAATATTTGGTGCATCTTTAACGGTCCATTTCCTTTCAATGCACTTTTAATATTCAACGTGTTTGCCTGATAAGGTTTTAAATATTGCTGAGTGGATGAAAGATTCGCTGTCATCGCAGTGTGGATTTTATTTTCTCTTTATTATAGTTGAATTATTATAAGCAGTAGTTCATTTTCTCATATACGGCACACCAATGTGAATATTCTTGCTATTTGTTTTTCTTATTTTTTTATTGCGTTATTAATATTTTCATCACCGTGTATTTCCCTCTCACCATAGGGCAGCAAGATGCCCTGTGATGTGTGTGTGTGTGTATGTGTGGTCAGTAATAATATTATCAAATGACAGTACAACAAAAATTTAACGTTGTAATTTTTTTTATAACAGGTTTATTCATGAAAAAAAATAAACATGAATAGGATACCCCAAAAAAGCATATCTTCCGTTCTAATTGGTACCCCACAGCGATCAAACAAAAGATCGTAACATAAAAAGAAGACTTCTCATAGGTTCAACGAAATTATAATAAAACAAAGAAAAATCGTAACAAAGTTATATGAATATTAATCACGACAAACAATTTAAATAAGTTTTTAGTTTGAATTTAAAGTCCCCAAAAGTTGAGCTCTCTCGAACATAAAGAGGAAGCTGATTCCAATTTGTGCATCCGTAGTAACATATATTTCTCTCCTCTGCAGTTTGTTCCGACATCTCACTTGATGAAGCCTTGTGTTGATCGACGAATTTTATTAAATTTGTTTTTTCAAACAAATATGTTGATACAACACAATAAATGAATTGCATCGCATTGCATCAGCTAGACAGTCCTACACACAATTGTGTTCTCTCATTTAATTAGATCTTCGCCAACTAAATGAAACTACTACATCCTGTGTTAAAAACGAAAAAAAATTTAAAAGAATAGAATGAATCTATTTTTAATTAAAAATAATAAAATTAAATCAGTTTTGTTAATTTATTTTTATGTATACAAAAAATAAAAATTTCAGATAAATAAAAAAACCAAATAGATCTATGATCGAAACTTTTTTAAAGTCTAACATATTATCTATCAAGATTAATGTTGATTAATTTAAAAATAAAATCTGTCTAGTTAATTTATTTTTGTGGAAACAAAAAATGAAAAAATTCAGTTGTATAAAAGAACCAAATAAATTCATCAGCGAAACTTCTTCAAAGTCTAACGGATTATCTGTCAAGATTAATGCTGCACGCCTTTTCACTACACAGCCTAAAATTTTTTAAATTTAAATTTCAGTTTATCACCTTATTTTGTTTATATTTTCGTATTTTTCATGTGTGTGTGTGTGTGTGTGGATGTGTGTGAATTTTTTTGTTTTTGTCTTGTTTTTTTTTTATTTATTTAATTTATTTCTTTAAATAAAAACTTGTTTTTAATATACTGAAATGTCTGAAGCTTAATCCTAGCTATTCAGTTTTGGATTATTTTATTGAATAGAAATATATTTTTCAACCACAATTTGATCTACGAAAACAAGTATTCATGGTTTAATATATTTAATCAATTAAATAAAAAGTTTTTTTCAAGCAGAACTATTCATTGCCATGTTATATCTTAAAAATATATAATGCATACAGACCAGGTTTTATTTCAATTAACAGATGGTAAATATTGTATAAAAACTGTATTATTCATCTTTTATTAAAAATTACACTGTGATTTATTGCAATTTTCTGGCAAATTATTCCTTTCCTCATGATTAATATCAATGTTGGTATCATTTTCATTCCAAAGAACGGAACTGTACATTAATTTTGTCTTACGTTTCATCATCATATCGTCATCATCTTTTTATAATATCATTTTATCATCTTAATCAATGATATCGTTATTATGTTACCAGAGTCATCATCATCAAAACAATTTTTGTAAACAGTGATATCTTAATATTCACGTCTTAAGATGTTTTTGGCTCCGCTTGGAAGGCTTTCTTGTCCAAAAACTTACTCAGTAGAGTATGACGACGATGACGATGATGATGATTGTGATAATGATGAAGATGATGGCAGTGGTGATGTTCATATGATGATGATGGTGTTGACAAATGTCCATTCATCTTTATCATCATCACTTATCATCATCTCATCATTTCATTCTGAACGCTTTAATCTCATTCACCGAAATAATTTTATTATCTACTATATTAGATTCCAAGATTTCGACTGCATTTCTCCCGTTGAACATTATGACAAAAAGTTATAGGACACAAAGTTTCATGGAGTCATTATTGTAAAATCTAATAATAATTGAATTTTAATAACATAATTATTTTAATCAAAAAAGTCTTTTCGTAAAAAAAATCTACTAAATTATTTGTATGAAACCAAAAAACGTTTTTTTTTTGAAAAAAAAACTTTAAAATTATTCGTATAAAACCATAATTTTTACATACAAAGTTTAAAAAATTTTATACGGTCCAGTGAAGAGGAACCCAGCTGACCTGATGAAGACAAATGATGGATCGATGGCCTAGTATCAGCGGTTCATGTTTCAAATTCTAGATCCTTCTTTATCTTCATAAACAACACCACCTCGTCAAGTGCATTCATTCTAGTAACATTTTTGTATGGAAATGGATTATATTAGACATTTCTCGATAGCTGTGATTAACTATAAAAAGAAGCTTAACAGTATTTCAAATGCTTAACTAATCTGGACCAAACATTCCCAAATATGATTAATTTTAATATTGATCCTCCATGTGTTATTACACCTACTGCTGCTGTGTTATGTTTATTACTGTGGGGTATCTTAAGAAGTGTCATTTCTTTTTCTCTTTCAAATACTCTTTCAATTTTTTTTCATTATTACCGGCCAGATCCAATTATTATCTCCCTCTATATGGTTGAATGTAAAGAATGACGTTTGTAATTGTGGTTGTATGTAGCTCCGTGATGTGGTATTGCACTTGTACTTATGGAAAAATACATGAAAAAATTTCAGACGTAACTAAAATTATAAGGAAAATGATTAAATGAATATGATGGTGACGATGAAACGTTAGAAATTTTTCAAATGGAAAGATAAGTAGCAGCTGTTTGAGAAAATCACGTGACAATCGCCATCTTTAATTTTTATTATTTGTTCTATGCGTTCTGAAAAAATGAATTAATCTACTATTTTTTTAAACGTTTCAAACTTCATAGAAGCACCATTTTAACGAAGGAAACAGCGGTTTATCATCATATGTTTGTTCGTTTGTGTTTATCACTGAAAAATTTAAAAAACTTTAAAATGTTTTTGTTGATGTGAAAAATTTAATTTTCCATCATACAAGTTGACAAATTTTAATTGGTTTCATATTGGTATAAATTGCTTTTTGACGTTTTTGATCAGAGATTTTTTAATTTTTGAAACCTCAACTAAGCGTCAAAACTGATCTTTGAAAATAAAAATGAAAATCTATAAAGCCATCTGTAGAAAATTCTAAAAATCTAAATTCAAAAATATTTTTCAAAAACTACTGGAAAATAACATTGGCATAAGGGAAAAAACAGAGCCAATATTCAATACAAGTTCACTCATTATGCTTGACATTTCGTTAGCGTTGCGTTAATCAGTTGTGTAGAAATATATTTAATAAGCTGCTGGGTGATGGAGAGGCTGTGCGGATAACGGCGCTGATGTATTGTTGGCTGACAGGCAAAAACACATCTCAGTTGTCCTTTGGTCTGGTGTGACTGCTCTGAAAAAAGTTTTGAAAGAGTTGATACTTCATGGCATGTTGTTAAAAAAAATTTACGAGCCTAAAAATTTGGAATTCATAATTAATTTTATCGTAATAAACTTTTGAAAAAAAAAACTCAATATCATTTAATCAATGCTCTTTCATCTTGATAAAATTCAAAACAAATGAAAACAAGATAGAATAACTAATGATTATTGTCGAATTAATTCAATATATACAAAAGTAAATCAATTGAAATAAAATAGCGACAAAAACAAAGCATCTGGACAGAGTACATGAAGTGATTTAGAAGCTAAATGCAGTCGTGTGTGACATGTGCAGTGCAGCGTGTTGAAAAAAATTGCAATGAACAAGCCATGTTATATAGATGGTATGTTAAACATCAGAGAGTAGAGTAGTAAACCATTACAATAAGCTATGAAAGAATGTGAAAAATTAGTTGATATTAAAGATATTGATAAAGTGATCTTATCATGATATCATCTGTGATATCATGTGATGGATTGATCATGCCATTTGATACCATATGTGATTTCATGAGGTGGATTGATCGTATCGTAGGATATGATACCATATGTGATATCATCTGATCGATTGAAAATAATCATATGGTAGGTTCATCGTATAGACGGCTTGGACAAGTTGTAGTGGGAATGTTTGCTTAATGTTTAACATGTGTAAGGAAGAATTGATAATTTTTTACTTTTTAAGGATTTTTGGCTTTTAATATGAAAATGTTTAAATAAACAAACAAACAAATATATTTGTATTTGTATATATTATAAACGAAATAAAATAAAATACAATTTTTTTCTGCAATGTTATGAACGCAGCGTCATAAAATGCAAGTAAAAATCAAAATAATATTGAATGGTCGTCTTTTTATTTCAATTATTATTTAACTAGAAGTAATATTAATATTACTACTACTACTTCTACTATTACTACTGCTGCTACTACTACTACTACTACTACTACTACTACTACTACTACTACTACTACTACTACTACTACTACTACTACTACTATTATTACTACTACTACTACTATTACTATTATTACTAATCTTAGTGGTTATAATAATAATAATGACAATGTGTTTTTATTATTTAACCACTATTGAAAGAATTGAAAATGATTTTCCATTTTCTGGGATAGAAAAGTGAAAAATATGAACAACACGCAAAGAAATCCTTTTCACTATTTCAATTTCAATCCAATTAGCTTTTCCGGGTATATTACCTATAACTTCATGACCAGAGGTGTAGCCAGAGGTGTAGTCTTAAGGCCCTGTAAAAAATTGTAGTCAGGGTTAAGTTGGAATGGAGTTTTTTAGGCCCTATAAAAAAGTGTAGTTATGTCTAAGTTTGAATAGTCCAACTATATCTTCAGTCAACTTTTGCAAACATTCATCAATCTATCCAACCATCTACCTATCCATTCATCTTTTCATTCATTTATTTATTCATTCGTGCTTTTATTCATTCATTCAGTTATAATATTTTAGAATAATTATTAATAATTTCTGACAAAATAACATATAAACTTATATTCTAGTTTAATAAAATTTCAGGTAATCCAGTAGAGGTTGGCATTACGATGCACATACTGAGCATCAGCTCTATATCTGAAGTTAATATGGTGAGTTGTTTGGTTGATTGACGGGTTAGTTGATTGACTGGTTGATTGATTGACTGGTTGGTTGATTGACTGGTCAATTGATTGAATGTTTGATTGATTGAATGGTTGGTTGATTGACTGGTTAGTTGATTGACTGGTTGATTGATTGACTGGTTGGTTGATTGACAGGTTAATTGATTGAATGTTTGATTGATTGAATGGTTGGTTGATTGACTGGTTGATTGATTGACTGGTTGGTTGATTGACTGGTTGGTTGATTGACTGGTCAGTTGTTTGAATGGTTGGTTGATTGGTAAATTTGTCTGCTACTGCTTAATTGATTGAATGATCGGTTGAGCGAGTGTTTGAGTATTTGCTTGGCTGAATGTCTGATGGATTAATTGATTAATTGATCAGTTAAGTAGTTGTGTTTGGTCTATTGATTGATTAGTCTGTTTGTAGAGCAGTTACGTTTTGTTTTTGTTTGCTTAGTTGTTGTTCCAATGATTAACTGTTGATTTACATAACAAATTGTTCGGTTTATCTGGATGGAAAAAGTACTTGTTTTATATACAAACACTTCAAATATGTGGAAGCGAAATTGTTTTATAACGAATGTGTTAATTAATGAACAACTGCTTAAAAATCGACAACATAATATCTGATTTAATTAAGTATATATATATATGTATGTGCGTGTATGTGTGTCTGTGTGTGTGTCTGTGTGTGTGTGTTTGTGTGCGTATTAGTAAAAACCAAACAAGAGTCGAGACTAAATAATGCAAGAAAAGAGGGTGATGATATTCATTTATTAAGGTTTGGTTTGAAATTAAATTTTGAGAATTTGTGTAACATTGCAGTAGGAAAAATAGTTGAGATAATAAAAATAATAATAATAATACTATTATTATTATTATCATTATGAATGATAACATTTTTACTATTTTTTGGTGACAGAACCTTCGTTAGATTGGAAATTTTGATCATTTGGCTGATAAGCAAGTTAATTACTGACCTCTTTCATTTCATTTCTGACATCTTCCAAAAATCACACAAATAAATTGAGAACTAGCATGCACATGCACACTACACACACACACACAAACACAAACACACACAAACACATGCATACACAAGTTTTATGTTATAATTTATCAACTAACTCACTTATCTATGAATACCAAATTAGAACCATAGTTGTATTTCAGTGAAATTTATTATGAGATGCATAAATCATAATATGTTTTTGTGGATATTGTATAATTTTAAACAAAAACAAATAAGATGTATACAACAAAGTCTAATTAATTGAACATTTGTCTAAAAGTTTAAAAAAGTATGAAATATTTTCTCAATCTGTTTTACTTAATTTAAAATTAAACTGCCAGATCGGTGGAAAACAATCTCTATTAATGAGACATGAATCTTAGAAGCAACTGTTTTTAACATTCACACATCCGTTTGTTACTTAATCTCTACCTTGCACATATTCACGAACTTTGCCAAGTAGTTTAACATACATAATGCACCAATAGAATCATTTCTTTCAAAGAGTTTCTGTACAGTCATTTATGTTGCTTATAATAAAGCATATAATTAATTGGCTCGTTCGTTCATTCGCAAAAAATATTCGTTTTATTTTCAAATTAATCAATTTCAAAGCCACGCAGAGAAAAAAAAGTTGAAATTGAAACTCTATTTGTCGTTTTTCAACGATAAATCACCGTGGCACAAATTGCACCATCATCAACCCAGGAAGAAACTAAATCGATAAACTCAGGAAAAAAAGAGTTACAAAGTTTTAAATCTAAAAATTATTAAGATTTATTATTCTTGTTAATTTTATTTGTTGAAATTATAAAATAATTATTAAATGTTGTAAACATTTTCAAATTAAAATATAGATGGCAAGGTTTCGCATCGCATTGACTGTGTTTGAAGAGTAAAAATATTCTTGCAATGTGAGCGATGCGTTGATTCGTATGTATCCGCGGTGAAATATGTGTGTTTGTATGTGTTTGTATGTGCGTGTGTTTGTACGCGTGTGTCTGTGTGTGTGTACGCATGCGCGTGTATGTATGTGTGTTTGTTTGTTTGTATGTGTATGTATGTGTGTGTTTGTATGTGTGTGTGTGTGAGTGTCTGTATGTGCGTGTGTGTATGTTTGAATGTACGTGCCTGTGTGTGTTTGTATGTGCCTGTGTGTGTTTGTATGTGCCTGTGTGTATGTTTGTATGTGCGTGCCTGTGTGTGTGTCGTTGATAACAACGGAGGAATGCAAAAGGAATGAAAGACCATTAAAGATGATAACACAAATATTGTAATAATAGTAGTAATAATAATAATAATAGTAATCATCATCAATACCATTAAGATAACAATAAAAACATAGAAAAAATTTTCCAATATGTATAAAAAGCCGATAATTTTGGATTAAGATTTACTTAGGATTGTCATGCTAAGATGAGATTTAAGTGAATGAATGAATGAAAGTATAAGAAGATTATACATGGTTAAGTGCTCAACGACAATAAAAACGATTAAATGATATTATTATGATGATCATGAAATGATTTCAAATGTGGCTAAGCAATACTTATCACGTTGAGTGATAATGATAATATTCAATGGTAATAGATATTATATAAATAAATTTTGTAATGGTAAGTTATCTCTTATATTTATTTATTTTATTTACATGTATTTTTGTCATTATCGTGATTTTTTCTTCTGACTTTTCTCACTAGTTCTTATTATTTCTTTTTCTGGTTATAAATGACATGTTTTTTTAATGTCAGAAACATTTCATATATACGCTAAAATTAGCGTTTCAATTTTTTTTATGGAACCATTCTATGAAATGCTTTTGGAAATAAAATATTCAATCAAATCAATCAATTAACCTAAATTATAATATATTTCATCATTCTTACTACGTTTTCATCATCATTTCTGTTTAAAATTCTCCAATTTAAGCGTCATTTTCATGAACAACACAATTTTCGTCACATCTCTATGTTAATTTTGATTTTATAGATAGAGTGTTGTTTAAATTTAAAATGAATTAAGTAAACTATCATGCCTTTGAGATATCCGTTGGAAAGACTGAATTAATCGTCTGGTAATTTGTTTGATGATCTCCACATGATGACCGTGGTTAAAAAACTTAGAAGAAAATTCAAAAATGAAAATTAATTACTCAATTGAATGATTCCTGTTGAAAACGTGCCTTAGAAACCATTTCAAACATGCCTGCAGCACGCTGCTTCTAACAGATACTTTCGTTCGCCAGCACAAAAGTGAAAGTAGTTAGGGGAAAATGTAATTTGTGTCTATTTTATTTGCGTGTTATTATTTAGTCTTAAAAATTGAAGTTAATTTTGTTTTTAATAAAAAGTTAATCTCAAAAAGAATGCAATAAACACATGTTATGCCATTTGGAGAAATTTATAGTTTTCTTAGTAAAATTTATATAAACAAACTATTGAAACATTCATCATACTCATCATCATTTCTGCAAAACATTTAGTTGATAAATTAGAATGTACTTGATAAATTTTCATATTATAAATATTAAAATGATCCCAATAATCACGACATCACTCCCGAAAGGACTTCACCCTGGACTTCTACTTCCGCCAACACTGGCACGACGAGAGGCTGACCTTCGAGAACTCGGGCGAGGATGAACTGTGCATAAGCAACGAAATGCTGGACAAAATTTGGTGGCCCGACACCTTCTTCGCTAATGCGAAATCCGCAAAATTCCACACGGCAACTACGAAGAATGCTTTCCTCAGGATCAAACCTAACGGTTGGATCACACAGAGTTTGAGGTCAGTTTGGGGAGTTTGAACTTTGACCTTTTAGCTTTTGAATTTTTGTAGCTGCATTATGATACCTTAATATATAGTAGCAATACTTAACTACATAACTACATATATAATAGTTATCTTAACATTTGAGTTGGGTGTGGAAGTAAAAATTGTGAGTAGGAGTATGACACCAAAATTTTAGCTACATACAAATGTATCTATCACATAGATATATATCTCGGTCAGGGTAAATTGATACTACTAATTTTTGGCGGTAGTATTGAAACATCTTCCTCTTTGCTACACTTTTTATTTCTCGTTATGGAAAATTGAAAATGTCATTATTTTTTATAGGCCGGCCGTGAAATCTGATCATGGTCTGAATACAAAATGTTTTGATATGTATGTATACACGAGACTCCACACACACACACATACACACACACACCACACACACACACACACCACATCTCACCCCATCTTACTACATCCCATTACACTTCATCCGACCACACCACACCACACTATATCGCACAGATTGACAGTGACCGCCATGTGCAACATGAATTTGAGGCTCTTTCCTATGGACATGCAAATTTGTCCGCTCGAAATTGAAAGTTGTCAGTAAATATTTTTTTAAAGATTTTGTTGTTTTTACCGTTGATTAGTATGAAATTGATTTTTTTTGTATAATAACACTGCTGATTTTTTTTAACTTTATTGCTCTGCGGAGTGAAATTTTTTTCCTTCAGTGTTTTCTGTTAGTTTTTTTCAACATTTTACAACGTTTTTACATTAAGTGCTGTTTCTGGATTTATAATGCTGCGTTTCTTATTATTATTGTTGTTGGTTGGTTGTTGTGTTGTTGTTGCTGTTGTTGGTTGTTGGTACATAGATAGTGACGCGTGATTTCTATCTTGTTTCTCGATTGATATAATGACAATTTTTGTAATGAAATTGCTCGCTAAGAATTTATATCAAATGAGTTTTTAATAGAATGACAATGGCCATCATATTGAATACATAGCTAAAATATGGATAGCAATGAAACAGTCGTAAGCATAGTGTATCACCTTTACCTCAACAATGACGTCAGCAATATTTCATCAATAAGAAGTTATGAAAAACCTTTCCGTGGTTCCACTTTTAAGGATTCGCGCCTTCGATAAACGTTTTGTTGTACGCTCAAACCAGAAATGTTTATATAAAAATGTCTCTATAAACATGTTTATATACGAATTTTTTTTATATAAATGTATTTATATACAAATGTTTTTATACAAATGTCGTTATACAAATGTTTTTTATACAAATGTCTTGAAACAAATGTTTATATACAAATGTTTATATACAGACGTTTATATTCAAATGTTTACATACATGACCTTAAACAAATATAAAGCGAGTTTTACAAAAGTAGGCAAATAAAAAACCACTACAGATAGGAACAGTTAATAGCAATACATTAGCTTTGAAGTCCTGATTCTAAAAATATCCAACTACTAGGCAAAATGATTTAGTTAATTACTCTGTTGAATTATACATTAGATGCATTAGTATGAAATTATGACAAATTATCTTGGACATTATTTAAATTATGCAAGCACGCACACACACGCACACACACACACCACATACACACACAGACAGACACACACAAACACACATCTGTATCTGTAACCCTCACATTCCTCATACAGCTACAGTAACTCTCACATTTCTCATATCAGTTTATTTGCAAATTCAAACTGTGCACAGATTTTATTTTTAACGTTGGTAAATAAAATTTGTTTGCCAGTACAAGACGGTTTCTTTTTACTTACTGGAATGTCTCTAGACGACTGATGATGTTTGCTGTTTGTTTTTTACATCGTTTTGATCGGCTTAGTTATCTTATCATCGGTGTCATCGTCATTATTGTCCTCACTCTGAATCACTCGATCATATCTGTATTATATTTTTATTCTAATACTTTGAATACCGAAAGAAAGAGTCATCTACAAACATATATCACCATGGAGAAAAATGTACAAAAGGCAGCCTGAAATGTAGGAGCGTATGAACATAAACATAGGATGCGAGCGTGCATCCCTAACCGATAAAAACGTTTTTTCTGGCTGCAAGTACAAGGCAGATGCTAATGTTTATTGGTCTGCTAATCCAATTACATCATCATACTCCTTTCACTAATTGTAAGATACTACCTCAAAATGCTCGCACTTCAAAACAATAGCCTTTTTTTAAACGTCAATTTTTATTAGCACTTTCATAACGTTTTATTGTGCTACACAGTTTTTTAGAACTAAAATAAAAAGAGTATATTTTATTAGTTTGATATGTATGCAAACAAAGCCGTTCTTTTATTGTTGTATGAATAATTAATAATGCACACATTGTATAATTGATACATACAGGGCTTTGTTTTATCGCGTTCATAATATACTTTACTTTAAAAAAAATTTATTTGTAACAATTTTCAAAGACTACGAACAACAAATTAAGACTTGAAAGTACAAACAAGGGGATATTTCCTGTTAAATCAAAAATCCGTTTAAGAATGGGTTGCATATAAGAATGAGTTTCAGTTTTCATCTACGTTCAAGAAAATATTCAACTGTTGACCGCTCATGTTTCAAAATATAGAATTGTTTTAAATAGTCAAAAAAGGATTGCTGATAAAATTGTCACTCATTGATTGCAGACGCCTACTCGACGAGACACATCAAGTACTTCTGGAAAGATGGGTTCAATCTGTCGGTGGATATTCAGAAGGAAGTTCAGATGCCACAATTTGATGTTAAGGGATACAGAGTGATAGAAAGATTGGAAAACACGACCACAGGTTTGCAAACACTTTTATTTTGGAATTATGTGATAATAGAAATAAAATAATTTTCCCGAAGCCAATACGAATAATAAGTTGAAACAATTTTCAAAATGTTTTAATTTTTATTGAAAGATAAATTGAGTTTATGAAAAAAAACAATATCAGGTAGTTACAGTCGACTGGCCTGTCAGTTGTGGTTCGTTCGAAGTTTAGGATATTACGTCATACAAATTTACGTTCCAAGCAGTCTCATCGTCGTTCTGTCCTGGATCTCCTTTTGGTTGGACCGCAATGCTGCCCCGGCACGTGTGGCTCTAGGCATCACTACTGTGTTAACTCTCACTACGTTCATTTCAAGCACAAACGCTTCTCTACCAAAAATAAGTTACCTTAAGAGCATAGACGTCTATTTGGTGACTTGCTTCATAATGGTATTTGCAGCCCTACTGGAGTATGCCGCTGTCTCATTTATAGGTAACAAACCTTGGATCCCCAAAAACAAACAATCGAAACAACGTCGTGAAATATTATCCATAAAGAATGCGGCAGAAGGGAAAAGGCTTGCTCTATCTGCAGCTCCGTGTAAAGAGTTGAACAACAGGCAGATGAGGAAAAACATTCCGGCGCGAGATGCTGGGGAAGAGACAGCAAACCTTAATCAACCCAATAGTCGTCGTTACATTTCCATGAACAATTTATCCACACCAATTTGGAAAAGTTTTGAAACGGCAGAGCCCAGCTTGCATGTTAGAATCATTAATTTCTTATGGTACAACTTTATTTTAAAACAAATATTTTCATCGGAAATATTTTACACTTCAACATTTGAATCAAATGACTATACCAATAAGTAACATTTTGATCTTGCAGCAAACAGACTTCAGCGCATCACCGAACAAAAGAAAAAGACTTGAATGGGCGCGCTCATCCACCGACAAGACGTTCAGCAAACAGTCAAACGTGGAAATGACGGGAGAGCACAAAATTGACATGAGTGAAATCACTGATGAGAAGAAACATTTCTGCCCTCCAAACTCTCACAAGTCGTTCAACCAGGACCAGCTATCGTTAAGTGATTTCGCTTCATCGTCTGCAACTGCCAACCTGACGAAACGTCATATGACCAACGCCAACAAAAACATGAATCCACAAAACCAGTCCAACTACAGAGAAGGCAACAAGCCGCCATCATGCCCCAACGCGTTTGCACCCAACGAAGATACAATGGAACAACAGGCTGTCACAGGCGGCGCACACAAACGTTCGGCTTCTAAACTTGAAAAAAAACCAAAAACCGTAAATAAAAATATCGTGTGGGCCAACAACATTGACAAATATTCCAGAATGATATTTCCGTTTCTTTTTGCCATCTTTTTAATTACCTATTGGATTGTTTACACAAACATCAGCCGAAGTCAGATGAAATTAGATTTTGTGTTAATTGAACAAAGTCATGATAGCTAAACTTTATCTTTAAAAAATGTATTAAATTGATGTAATAAATGAAGTATGCACGTGTATATGAATTATCACGAACGTTAACGAACGATTTTGTTCTCTTTCAAATAAATAAACACGTTTCAAATGTTTGTTACATGAATTGAGTTATATGTTAATCCTTTATGAAATATGTCAAATTATTTTACATTTCACATTTATAAAATATTTTTTTCATTGTAAATATAATGAACATTTTATTGAATATACATTTTTTGGAAAAGAAAAACAAAAAATAATTTTAATTCATTGTTGAATATTTATTTAAAATAATACATAAAAGGCTAAAAAGTGTAAATTGAAATTCAGTAATTAATTACTTAGGTTTTTTAACATGACCCAAATCATAAGCACCCCTAACACACGTCAACTTCACACCAGGCAAGTCCTGTGTCTTGCCTCCTTTCACAAGAACGATGTGATGCTCCTGTAGGTTGTGTCCAATTCCAGGAACATAGGCAGTGGCTTCCTTGCCTGTGCTCAACCTCACTCGCACACATTTTCGATTGGCTGAATTTGGTTTCTTAGGCTTTTTGATGAGAGTTTTTAAGACAACACCTTTAATGAATGGTTTCCCCTCAGTTGCTCCAATCCTCTTTCTACGAAATTCCGGAAGACCATATTTAATTCTTCTTTTTAAAAAGTGACTCAGTTCAGAAACAAATGAATAACTTTCATAAGTTCTTTGTGGTATGTAAACTTCATTAGCTTTATTAAACAATGCAGTATTGGAGTTGATAGTTTTAGATGGAATAGTTCGATTCAGGAAGGTACAATATCTGCGTACAAGTGACTTTGGTGCAACATCTGAAAAAAGGAAAAAAATGGTTAGATAGGAAGAAAATTTAAAAAAGTCTCTTCATGCAAAACTTATTTATATATATATATTATATATATATATATATATATATATAATGAATTAAAAAACTCTATATTACATATAACAACTGATACAAAAATGGAAATATATACAAATTAAAAATTCAAATTAAAAGTGTAATAAAAGGCCATTTAAAAAATAGAAAGTTATTAATATCTTCAATATTAATTACTACATCCTAGTTTTTCAACTATAAAAAAGAGATCATTTCCAATTTATCATGCACTTGCTCACATATTATAATTTGCATTTTACAAACACACTTTTTCATGAATATATAATATAATAAATAAAAAACAAAATATTTTTCATAGAATTTTTTTTTTATTAGATAGATGTATCATTGGAATATCATTGGAATACAATACATTTCACAAAAACTTAATTAAAGCTCTGATTCCATGGCTTTATAGTTTATATTTTAATTTTTCAAAATAATTTTTGAAATTTTCACATCCATTTGTTGTAGCCACAGCCTCATTCCCAAGTAAAAATATTTCCTTAGCACACAAAACAAAACAAATCTAATTTAACTAAACTCTAAACCAATTAGTAATTTAATTAATTCAAATTGATAAAATTTGAATTTTAAAAGTTTATTTATTATTATTAAATAAACTTCAAGAAAATCTGAAGAAAATAAAATAAATAAATAAATAAATATTAAATATCAAACATACTTTTTTGGATGGCATGGCTTACAGTGTTTTTTGAGAAACTACTTAACAAACTTGTGCTTGAAAAGGCTTTGCACAAATTGGACAACGAGAACATTGGGACGGAAAATTTGTAAATGTTGATTACATTAAAATTTATAACAAATTTGCCGACGAAAACCAAAATAAACTTTATTATCGCCCAGCCAGTAACCAAGAACAAAAACAAAAGTATAAACAGTCAATGAGCAGACAGTAGAATAAATAGTAGAACGGCAAATCACACTTGTCAACATTTAAGATTTATAGAACAATATTTTTCATTTACTGGCTCAACTTTTAAATCATATTTTTGTAAAATTAATATCCTACAAAACATAGCAGCATATGCGGACAGGTTGTTAGTGTCATACATCTATCTCTATCTGACAACATGGCTTGCTGAATAAGATGATCAAAAGTCAAATTGCCATACAATGTAATTTAAATGTGGACAAAGTTCTACATTCATTTCTGCTGTATATACATACGCACGTACAACCAAATAATGCAATGTGGGTTTATGATATATCACATGGAATATGTACGTGTTTTCATACATACTATCAATATGTATGCATTCAATCATGAGGTTAATGAAATGCAGCGAGGCCAAGATACAATGGATATAAAATATGAAAATATTTACTCAACACGTTTAGCAGTATAGATAGCGGATAGCTCTTGTTCAGCACGTTCAACATCATTATTCTTTACAAAGGTGTCATTTAATTTGACTGGAACTAAAATAACCTATTTCAAAAGTGAGTCAGTTACATTTAATTAGTACTATTAATTCGTGTCAATCAAATATGAATCAATTTGATCCAATCTTTTCGAAGATGTCGTTGGAACAAAAACTGAACTACTTGTGCTCAGGAATCCCCGTGAAGTGTCTGCCTCCTAAAAAGACTGGCCAAGATCCCTCGGTGCCACATGCTCCTGTCAGGACGCCAAATCTGAACAAACACGACACCAAGGTCACTATTTTTCTGAAAATTTATTTTTATTAAAAAATATTTACTCGAGTTATGTTATTCTTGCGATTAAGTTTCGTAGTATTGTTATTTATAATGTAAAATTAGATCCAATTTAATACCACTCCAATGTTCGATTGCGTTTGCGTGCGAATGTTTAAATGAAAGCCTCTTGGCGTGCAAAATGTGTATTTCAATGACAGTTGGTGTGGCAAAAACTTTAACGTAGGTAGCTACATACATACATATTAAGCATGATGTAACGCACCTTGTTTACTGTAATTCTGCGTGGTTGAATACTTTGTACAGTTAAAACGAAAAACACACGCATTATGATCTGTTTAGTGTTTAATTTTTGTAATAAAGTTATTTGTTTTTGTTGCTTCTATTCTTAATGTATCATATTTTCATAAGTTCATTGTGATACTAAATAGTTTTGTTTCACGTTGAATGATCAGATAGCGTTACAAAATGCCTTGCGGTACTTTCCGCCTGACATGCACCAGTCTCTTCTTCCAGAATTTCTCGATGAACTGATGAAATATGGCCACATTTACATGTACAGATTCCTACCAACACTTCAAATGAAGTATACATTGCACATTTTGTATTGAAACATGATTTTTATCTTCTGCATAGATGATCACATTAAACAACTTCTTACGAATTTTCATCAGTTTATATGATCTCACCAAATATAATTTTGATTTTTTTTTAAATATTCCGTCAAATGTCTGCACAATTTCAAACTAACGCAGAGCCTACCCAATAGAATACTTTCCATGCCACAGCAAGCACGCATGCGCCATGGCCCACATGATCTTGAACAATCTTGACCCAAGGGTAGCTCAGTTCCCACACGAACTTGTCACGTATGGTGGCAACGGACAGGTCTTCAATAACTGGGCCCAGGTAGTCAAAATGATGGAGATGACAATGATGAAGATGTTGATGATGAGGAAATAAATGACGATGGTTAATAATAATTATGGAAAATGATATGTACTAATCTCGATTAAATGGATTAAATAAAAATGAAAATTTATAAAATGCAGTTTTGGTTGACCTTGAACTACCTGACGTTGATGACCGACGAGCAGACGCTGGTGTTATACTCAGGTCATCCAATGGGTCTCTATCCAAGCAGCAGGAGGGCTCCAAGGATGGTCATCACGAATGGAATGGTCTGTTTCTATGTCTGCTAGTGTGTGATGGTGCATGTACGTACTTGCGTGCGCTTTTTGAATGTCTGTTCGTAGGATTCATTTTTTGTAATCAGTCGCGGATCCCCCTCTCACCGGTCGTTTTTCAAGTTTGTCTAGATCCGCAACTGTTTGTCATCATGTAGTCAAACACGTTTTCTGTTTTGAACGATTTCTAATCTGCTGTTTCGTTTGCTACGAATATAATTAGCGATGGAATTTTGAGAAGCAATTTTATAAAAAAATTTTCGAATGAAAAATTACGATTTTTAGTGTTAATATTGAAATCTTTCAGATGGTGCCAAATTATTCCAGCAGAGAAGAATACGACAGATTGTTTGCCCTTGGCGTCACTTCGTTCGTTTAACATTTCCTGTTCGCTACCTTTAACAAAATAATAATTTTTTTTACATAAACTCAATTTTCAGTTTTTCTGATTATTATTTTTAATTTCTCCTTTCCTATGACCTGAATTGTAAGGTACGGACAGATGACGGCGGGAAGCTTCTGCTACATTGGGCCACAAGGCATTGTACATGGCACCACGGTCCGTTTGTCTTTTCAATCAATCTTACTCTCTGTCCATGCTATCAATTAAAATGTAATTCCAAATGTGAAAGTATAACATTAAATAAAACCAGGATGAATAGTTATTCTCAAAATCATTTGACTCACGTGAAATAACAAAACGAAAATAAATGTAAGCATTATGAAAACTGCATTAAAACAGTGATAATACGTTGTATCACCATCATTAGCTTACAGTTTTGAACGCTGGACGAATCTACTTGAAAAAAGATGATTTAGCTGGCAAGGTAAGTAGGTAATCAGTATAACAAATTTTGCATTTTAGTAAAAGTTTGAACTTTGGATCGATTGAAATTATGAAAATTTGTCAGAAAATAGTTGTAAGTGCATTTGCTTACTTTGCAGGTGTTTGTGACTTCAGGTCTTGGAGGAATGAGTGGAGCACAGGCGAAGGCAGCAGTTATCAGTGGATGCATCGGAGTTATAGCTGAGGTTTTATACTCTTATCGGTTTCATGCATGAAGTTACCATTGCTTTACGACTTTAATTTTGTATCAGTGCTACTTTTGAACTGAACATGTGCGTAACTGAATCGATAATTTCATCTATTTTATGGGTCTCTAAATTTCAGTTTATAGAACAATAAAAATATTAATATTTATAAATGGAAAATATGTCATTATTATAATTCTAGGTGGATGAAGCAGCGTTAAACAAACGTCACGAACAGGGATGGGTGGTTGAGAAGGAGTACTGCCTGGATAGGTTGGTGGAGAAAATAAGGAAGTCACGTGAACGAGGCAAGCCCCTTAGCATTGGATACCTTGGAAACGTCGTGCATGTTTGGTTGGCTGTCGTTTAAGAATTTTATTAAATTGTTTTAATTATATCGTGTATGTTTTTTTTAAATTTAAATAATTTAAAAACAAAAAAAGTGTTTAATTTGTATAAATTCATGAAAGATTTTAACGACATGAATAATCTGAAATGCTTTCAATCGTTAACCCGTTTAGGGAGAAATTAGTAAAAGTTTATGAAGAGACGGGCGAGTTGCTTGTGGAGTTGGGGTCAGACCAGACCTCCCTTCATAACCCCTTCCAGGGTGGTTATTACCCCGTCCAAGTAAGGAGGGGGTACAAAAATAAATTTTGCGAATTAAAATTTGCTAACAATTAAAAATATTAGATAAAATTAAAGTTAGATTTTGTGTATCTGTATTGAAATGAGATTATTTGTCCGGCAGTTGTCGATGAAGGAATCCCTGCAAATGATGAAGGACGATCCCTCAAAGTTCAAGGAGTTGGTTCAGGAAAGGTTGTCCTTTATTTTCATGACCCATAAGTTGAAGGAAATATAATGAAGTCTTGATAAATTTGAAGATTTAATTTGAATTGGTTAAGTATGAAATAGGTAGAAGTTTTTTCAATAAATTTTAAAAAGATGCTCGTTGCATTCGCGAAATTATCTAAGTTTCATATTAATATATACAAATAATGTCGGTATATCGTATTCAATAAACTATAGCTACGCGGACAAATTTCATACAAGTCAAAAAGCTTTCATTTTGTTAAATCATTTGAATGAAAACAAGTTTTTCTAGGCTCAAACAGCAATCAAAGCTCTTAAAACATGAAAAAATATTAGTGAGAGCCTGACTTTAATAACAATGAAAAACCAAAATATTGTTGCCATTCTATCAAACCCTTACTAACGCATTTTTCTTTACAACTGGTTCGATTTACATTCGATCATTTCGTCTGTTTTCTCAAGTCTGCCCGTTGCCAACACAACTATGTAGGAAGACACTCATCAATCACAAATTGTTATCCGACTAACAATTTTAAGAACGAATTTGAATTTCCACCCGTGAACTAGAACTTTCTTTTAAAGACTATATAGAAAATAATTTTAACGACTCTCTCTGTAGAATACAATCTTAAGTAGGTACACAATTACAGAAGAACCGATTGTTAAAAATAGGAGTGATCCATGAATATTTTATATGCGTCTCATTATTCGTTTAACCAAACGCGTTCCATATTGAAAATTTAAAAATTGTTGATGATAGAGTTCATTTCAAAATAACTAATGCTGCCAAAACTGAACTTAACAAGCATGGATAGTATTATGCAACCATCAGATAAGTAATTAATATTTTGACGACAGTTTAAGGCGCCAGGTGGCAGCGATAAACAAACTTTCCGAAGCTGGAATGTTTTTCTGGGATTATGGAAACTCCTTTCTCTTGGAAGCACACAGAGCTGGTGAGAATTATCATCTAATCATTTAAAATATTCTTGTTTATTGTTACATATTGAAAAAAAAAATTGGTAACGTTATTCGTTATTCATGAAAACTAAATTAATTCACTGATATAATAAACTTCAAAACATTATTCATTATTATAAATCTGAAATAAATTATTGTCAAAACGTGTTATGATGGTCATGGATTTGTTATTTTATTCAAATACATTTAAGACAAATAACACGACGTGTATCAACCTTTATTACGAAATATGAACATGTTGATATTGACGATGCGGTATTGTTCATTTAAAACGCATGGTAACTTAAGTCATTATGAACACCTTCATTATACAAATAATATCTTGTATTTATATGCGATTATAAATATTCTGTATATATTCATTCATCCGGGCGGTAGGAGCAGACGTGTTGAAAGCAGACGCTACCGCTCTGAATGATTTCAAATTCCCTTCATACGTGCAGCACATCATGGGAGATATTTTTTCGCTTGGCTTCGGACCGTTCAGGTTTTGATGGATTTCGATAATAAAAATGAGCCGAACTGATTCGTATCAATTTTATTTTTATATTTTATTTTTGAGATTTTATTTTAAATTAATATTTCAAATGACTAATAGATATTTTACTATAATATATAATAGATAAATGACTAGAGATTTTTTATTGTATATGTGCGAACGAAAATGTTTTGAAAAATTAACGTTACAATATAACGAAAGAAAAGTTAATTACAATAATCATCACCATATAAAAAAAGGTACATTTGTATTTCAGGGTTGAGTTAAGGTGACTTGTCCCACTTGGTCACTATCGCCTGCTGACCTGCTTCGAATACTCTCAAACCCAAAACTGAATGTAGTCATTTACGTATTATATAGTGTTTACACTTACACACAACTCTGCACTGTACAACATTTACTATGGATATTAGAGCCTTATGGCACACCAATTTATTTGCAACTAAGAAGAAAGAAAATTGCATTTTAGTAAGAAGCATTACGTGAACAGCTTTCTATTTTAGACCCGCGTAAAAGTTATTAAAAACACGCAACCTCATTTAAAATAATTCTCTCTCAAATATATTTCACTCGCCAGGTGGGTGTGTACGTCAGGCAGACATCCAGACCTCCAGAGAACTGACCAGATAGCTGCCAAGGTTTTGGAGGAGGCAATCAACGATAGCTCTGGTGAGTGAATTTTAAAATTGAATTTTAAAATTGAATTTAAATTAAATGGTCATTTGAATTGGTTTCGAGACATGAATAAGGAAACTAACAGTATCAGTTATTTACAAAATGATGATTATTACTAATGACAGTGGCGATGAAGTTCGTGATTTCTGATCAAGATGTGAAATTTCAAAATCACTTTGACGTTAACAATAACGATAATAAGACAATGATAACGATGATGATGATGATAAGATGCGGACAACAATGATGATAACAATGATATCTTGCAGTTCCAGAGGAGGTGAGTCAACAATATCGAGACAATCTAACTTGGATAAAACAGGCAGAAGAACATCAGCTGGTCAGTTTTCAAGTTTTGCTATTACAGTGCAACTCAAATGACGGTCAATATTTTCAATTTTCTTAAAAACTATTCGGCCACATCAAATGAAATATTTGACTGACTCTTAATTATACAACTATGTTCATGTTTTAAATTTTACCGTTTATTGAACTGTTCTTTAAAGTTTTTCAGGCAAAAATTCAATTAAGTACGAAAAAATTTTTTTTTCGTTATTTAGACAAAATTAACAAGACTGTATTTGGGATTAATGTAAATGAAAGCAAAGGACAAAAAATAATGAAATATAAAAATGTGGTGAACAGAATTTGATTGTTGATGCTTGAAAACGAGTTTCATAGACATCCAAACAACAACAACAACAACAAACAACAACAACAGAAACGACATCAGCCTGCAACACACAAAAAACACACGCAGAGACTAAGAAACGATTTCAAAAAATATTTTGACGAACATTTATCATAATCACCTCTCAGAGTGGAGGAGAAACACAATCTAACAGACATTTATCTACATCCATCCAGCAAGCATTCAGCATTTGATGAACTGTTCAACTGTTATATAATGAAAATAAAGTAAGTTACCTCACAAGGCACAACTAGAAGAAAATGTTGAAACGAAAACACACCAATATACACTCACATGCAGTCACACATACACGCGAGTATGAATATACGTAAGCACGCACACACGTACATACGCACATGCAACCAGACTCAACATATGTCAAAACTACCACCAGTTCTTGCAATATAGCTGAATGTTTCGGTGGCACGGTGGAGAAAAAAATTATTATCTCCATGATTTACGAACTTGTTCAAGTTCTGACAGGGCCCTTTAAAAATATAACGTTTCAAGACTTGCTGTTCGGTTTAACAGCAAATAAATCAGTTACACATTATGGTCTTTGCCTGCTCGCCTGCCTACTTTTTGCTTGTCTTTCTTTTCGGTTTTTATTTTTTCTTGTCAGTTTTTTCTTACTTTTTAAAATATTCTTCTCTAAAAGATGCAATGTTCCTTTGTTATTTTGATTCTGCATTTCATTGCAGTTGTTTTTCGTTCTTTGTTGTTATAGTTTTATGTCGGGATGAAGTAAATCCTCAAACGCAAATTTTTGCGAGCGTGTAGCGTCAAGACACTTCAAACCTCCTGAAAACAGTTAAAAGCAAATTTGCAGCAAGTGTTAGGACAATGTATGGACCGCTGACTCCTGCGACGTGATTGTTCAACAGTTTCAAAATTTCAATGCCTCCAACTTAACAATTTTTATGCTCTTTGGTGACGAAAAAATTGAAAAATGTTTTGACATTTTCTATAATTTATCGTTCCACGCATCCACAAATCTTTCTCCTAACGTTTCTGATTTATCGTCAGCGCATAAGACTTTACATCATCATCATAATTTGTTTCATTCGATTTTATTTGTACTATATTTGTTATTTATCTGTGATAACTTATTCTTACCAAATTTTTATTCCAAGTTATCGTGAAGGCAATCAACAACATTTCGCCAAAAACCAACATTCCCCCAACAACAGCACACAGCAACAACACTCAAAACAACAGAAATAGACGTCAACACCAACGGTCTTAATCATAAAAACCACAAACAGGTTGTTGGCAGTGAGGCCAGGATTCTATATTCAGACCAGGAAGGCAGAGTGAACATCGCCCTAGCTTTCAATGAGGCCATCGCAACCGGGGATATTCAGGTTAGGAATGGAAAATGAAATATCACTTTAAGATATTTGAAAAAAAACTACTCAAATTATTTTGTGTGCTGTTCAACTACTAAAATAAATTTAAATGTATTAGAATATCAAATATTAATGTTATCAAACGACCGATTTTGAGACAACAACGCTAACAGCTAACCAACCAACCAACCAACCAATCAACCAACCAACCATCCAACCGACCAGCCAACCGACCAACCAACCAACCATCCAACCGACCAACCAACCGACCGACCAACCTACCACCGACCAACCAACCAACCAACTAACCAACCGACCAACCAACCAACCATACAACCGACCAACCGACCAATCAGGGCCCAGTGGTCATAAGCAGAGACCACCACGACGTAAGTGGCACGGACAGCCCGTTCCGGGAGACCTCGAACATTTACGATGGATCCGCCCTATGCGCCGACATGGCGGTGCACAACTGCATCGGAGACAGTTTTAGGGGGGCGACGTGGGTGGCCCTACACAATGGCGGAGGTGTTGGATGGTGAGTTGTTCATTTTGGTTGTTTGCATGTGTATGGGTTTTTAGAATGTTATCAAACATTGTGAAAAATGACGATGAATATATTTTTTTGATATATTAAAAAGCAATACAACATAGTTAATAATTATTCTGTTATCTATATTTAAAATTAAAATTGAATAATATTAAGGAACAAAAACTATCGAACTAACTTTTTAAAATGCCAGCTGTGGAATTATTTTTATATAAAGATCATTTACTTAGAAAAAAGTTGAACATGTGTTCGAATAAAGTATAAAATGAAAACTTTATAACTCAGGAGGGAGTGTGTTAAATATTATTAATGGGCGAATAAAACTGTTTGATCTTTATCAGAGGTGATGAAGATGATGATGGCAATAAAAGCAGCTGTGATCTAAGATAATTGAGCATCTCAGAACCGTCAAAATATCAACGAATTTGCAAAAAAAAATGTTTATCACTTTTCTAAGCAACGTTCAAATAGTATGCACGCTTCTTTATTCATCTTCAAATTAACATATTCCTTGGAAAAAATAAAATCATTTTTACATAAAATCGTAAACCAACAGAAAAAATAAAACAAACAAACAAAAAACAACACATTGCAAAGTATTTCTCCTAAAAACCAATAAAAGTACAAAATCTGAATCAAAAAAAATAAATTTGAAAAAAAAATTATTATCTTTCTCTTAACTCTAAACACGCGCACACCACTCTTGTGATTAGCATTTTTTCGCAGTTGTAAATCGCGCGAGTGAGCCCATAAAACTCATCTCAGCCTTCTCAACTGATGAATTTACGCACCTTTTATTGGTTCGCCAACGAAAAACCTGCATTTGTTTTTATTTCTCTTTTTTTTCAAACTTTTGCATTCCACTTTTTATTCAAGAATTTTCTCCACGTTTTTCTGCTCGCTTGGTTTATTTTATTGTGTGGATATTTTTATTTACGACTGTTTGTCGTTCTCTCTTTGCTTAAATTATTTTCGCTCTGTGCGTTTTTTATTGTTTTTTTCTGATATTATTTTTCTCTGAGATTTTCACATTTTCACTAATTTCTTCCCAACTAAAACAAATTATGTTTATTGTTAATAAATAGTCAGGTGGTCGTACGTACATTGCTAAGATCCCATGCTTACGGTTTTATTAAAATTTCCAAATATTTTAACAGAAATCATTTCATGAAACAAGAAACCGTTACATGGCCAACTAATTCAAATGTAAATATGCAATTCATATTACACACAGCTAATCATTAGTTTATTTTTATTGTTTTCTACATGCCTTCTAAGCCAGCTTAAGGATAGCAAGACAGCGACAACAAGACAACGACAAACAGACACAAACCAACTCAGCAGCAGAAACAACAAAATGCACAGAACCACACAACTAACTAACTCATTGAGAAACATTCATTCTGATTGCTCTGAAGTTTATTTCATTCACTAAATGCCTCATAAATGTACCGCTAATTCTAGCATAAAACATTTTACTGACAACAATAACAAAGATAAAACAAAAACAATCAAATTGTGAGATATTTTTTTTCTACGCAAAAATCTTGCTTCTTTAAAAGTTACTTCGTTCTAATTGTTATTTTCATTGTTTACGCACACTGACACATGTGCAAACAAACCGTTGTTAAAATATAACAACGCGTACAACTGCTGCACACATGCAGGGACGTGAACATACGCACACGAGTATTCACAGACACGCACGTACACCGTCGCTACTTTGAAAATCACAGACACCACATTTGGCAATGATGTCAGCATCAGCACACAGACGCAAGCAAATTAACAACACATTTTTAATTATTGTCACAGAATAGAAGAATACAATTCACAATGTACATGTGTACATACAATCAGGCATTTAAATACACAGAAATACAAAAAAACACATACACTTGCATACATATTTACTGCGTACACACGCACACACACACAAAACAAATACGAAGTGGTCTCTCTATAGTACAACTAAAAAACTCCAGCTAACTCAGTTGACCGACCAAAAATTAAGAAAAAATTACCTCAAATCAAAATTGGTTGAATGGTTAAATTGTTTAAGACAAAATTTGGTCTGCAACAAAATAATTATCATCGTCGTCAACATCATCGTCAAGTTTTTTTATTATTATTAATCTTCATAGCAATAATAATAATGATAATAATAATATAACAACAATAATTAGAAAAAAGACAAGGTGTAGTAATAAAAATGAAAGAAAGAATATAAAATGAGGCATATTGGCATCGATAACAAAGCAGAGGAATTATATGATGTTTTAATATTATGATAAGATGGGAGACGAAGAAAACATTACGTAATAAGTTATGATAACGACGACGACGATGATGATGATAGTGGTGATGACGATGATGATAGTGATAATGATAGTGGTGATGACGATGATGATAGTGATGATGATGAAGATGCTGATGATGATGATGACGATGACGATGACGATGATGATGACGATGATGATGATAGTGGTGATGATGATGATGACGATGTATATGCAAATGACCACTAAGAGAAAGTACAATGATGTTTTAATATTATGATAAGCTTACCAAGATATGACGAAGATAATATGACACAAAAAGTTATGATGATGATGCTCATGCTGATGATGATGATGATGCTCATGCTGATGATGATAATGCTCATGCTGCTGCTGATGATGATAGTGCTCATGCTGATGATGATGACGACGATGATGTTGTTTATTTTAAAATTGGACGACTTTAATTACTTGATGATCACGTCATAAGAGTTGATATGGATATCTCATCAATCTACACCCCAACGAGTCATTTGAGGACATTTAATGTTTAGTAAGTAGCTTGGAAATATAAATCCAATCCAGCACCAAATGAAATGAGTTAGAAAACTTCAATTTTTAATGACGCGGTGACTGAAAAAGGACATATAATCACCGTCGATTTATCACTTAAATGATGATGCCGTCAAATTGTTTCATCATGTCGTCATCGTCCACAGTTAAGGAGTAGGACCCCCATCTCGAGGCAGCTGTGTATAAACAAACTCAAAATATTTTAATTATTTTCAACAACTTGATAAAGGTAGAACAATTAGAAAAAAAAGCAAAACAACACAACTCAAAACTGACAGCAACAACAGTAACAACAACAGTAACAACAACAACAACACCAGTTTCAATAATAATATATTAAGCCATAAAAAAATTAGAAAAACTAAAGGCGCAACATTGCAAACAATATGTAAACCAGGCAATAAAAACATCACCGTGCTGTGTGTCTTTATACGTTGTGTGTGTGCGTGTGCATGTTCCATGTGTGTGTGTGTGTGTGTGTGTGTGTGTGTTTCATGTGTGTGCGGTTTCATGTGCGTGTGTGTGATGTTTCTTTAATCTGTGTGTATCTATGTGATGTTTTGTGTGTGAGTGAGCTAATTTTTTAATTTTTATGTAAAAAAAATGATTTGATATAGTGTGTGTATATTTGTATAAGTATTTGTATATGTGCAATTGTTAACCTGAGTTTTAATGATTTTTACGTCTGTATGTGTGAGTTTGATGCACATTTTTCTATATTTATGTTGGTGTATTTTGCTTTTCTGGGGAAGATTCTGTAGAAAATCAAGATTTTTAATTTAAATGTAATTTATTTAATCTTCTTCTTGACATTTGACATGTATGTGTGTGTGTGCGTGTGTGTGTGTGTGTGTGTGTGTGTGTGTGTGTGATATGCAAAATGTTACATGTATGGATGTTATTAGGCATTTTATTAGGCATACATGTGAAGAGCATATCAGTTTCAGATTGACTCCATGTATCAAATGTATAAGTACCTATGCCGTGGATTAATGAAAATGTAGATACCCACACACACACACACACACACACACACACACATATACACACACACACGCACATACACTCACGCACACATACCCAACACGCTTTAACACACACACACACACACACACACACGTATAATGTGATGTTTTGTTTATTTACATTTTCTCATATAACACGCATCCAGCAAACATTGAGCGCTGCATAACTTGTCACAACAATAACAACATAAATAATATCATTTTATTATAAACGTCTATGTTTATAATTTGCGCACACTGTTACATAATGTTAAATGTATATATTTGTATGTGAACATTCAGAGACTTTTGTATGCACTAGTTATTTGCACGTCTTTATGTATATCTATATACGTCAGTCTGTGTGTGTGTGTGTGTTAGTATTTAGTATTTTTCTATAACATCATTAAGGTGCATTTATATAAAAAAAATGTTGTCATACACACATATACAGGCACACATACAAACACGCATACAAACACACATACACACGTACTTTAGTATGAAGTATGTGTAAAAATGCGTAGATGAACATTTGCGTATATGCAGGCACGCACACATACGTACGTGTAAATGTTTACGTGTACGCACAACACCTTCAAGTGCAGATACGAACGAACAAACAGCAAAGGTTGAACAGAAAGAAAAAGCGAGAAAGTGAGAGAGGGAGAAAGAGAGAAGGACGAAAGAGAGAGAGAGAGAGAGAGAGAGAGAGAGAGAGAGAGAGAGAGAGAGATGATGAGATGTGATGTGATGCTCTTCCAGACATCTTACTCTTATCACTCGCGATTGAGCACCTGTTTATATAAATTATTTTCATTATGAGTGAGGTTTCATTGTATGTCGGCCCCTCGCGTGTTTGCGTGTGCGTGTGTCCGCGTGTGTCTGCGTGCGTCTGCGTGCGTCTGCTTGTGTCTGCGTGTGTGTCTTTTTCTTTTTCTGTTTATATTTTTTTTGTTTTTCCATCGTTGTTTTTTCTATCATTATTTTCAAATTGTTTTTTGCGCTTATGTACATATTTTTAAAACAATTTTTATAAACAATATTTTGTGCCTTTGTTGTGAGGGGTTGGTTCGGTATAGTTATTATTCTATCTCATTGTATTTGCTTTTATGTGGCTGAAAATGATATTGTATTGTGTTTAAATTTTGTTGCTTAGTGATGAATTGTTAAATCACTTGATGCTGATGATAAATAATTAGGATTTTTCAATTTGAAACAGTTGTTACATGAAGCTGATGCATGCGTCGTACATGTTCTAAAGTACCTCACCTACTCACGCAAACTCTCACGCACATTCATCCATCCATGCATTTTTAAACTTCTTTCTAACCTAACATTCATTTGTTTCACACATAACTTAATAACACTAACCTGTCTATCATCACATTTAAATCACACAACAAAACACAAACAAACACACACACACACAGACAGACACACATACAAACCTCCACACGCACACACACATACGAACGCCTACTCTCAAAAAATATATGGACAACAAAAACAGCCAGAAAACCTGGAACGCACACCTAACAAAAAGACATGAATAAATAAATTAATTTTTTAAACGAAATATCGCAAAAATAATCTTCCGAACACGGGAACAATGCATATAACGAAAAGTACAAGGCATACATTCGGTACAAAGCAATGATGATGAGGGAGGCTGGATGCGAGCGAAGTTATGCGCGCTTTCGTTTCATTTCATTTAGTCTATCTATCCCAACTTATTTGGCTGGCTGCTAATCTAAACAAAGAATGTAATGTATACAAGGCATAAAAATATACATTACTAAAAAATGTTAAACATACAATACAAAAAAATGTAATGCATACAAAGCATAAAGATATACATTACTGAAAATGTTTAAAACATACAATGTATAAATTTTTTTTACATAAAATAAATGCAATCGAATGCGGTTCAACTCGATTAGCTGAAAAACATGGTCTTCATATACTTGTATCGCAAGAAAGTTATACAAAAAATAAATACCAAAAAATATGAAGAAGAAATTAACAGAAAACGAAATATGGAAAACAGTGAATGAGTACAGCGTTAGTACAGAGTCAGTACAGTGCTTAAGCAGTCTGCCTGGAACCTAACCGCTGCAGAAGAGCATTTAAAATGCCGTTAAACTTCTTTATTTTCCGATAAAGCGTTTGTTGGTGGTGTTGCTGATAAATTATTTTTATGACTATTTTTACATTTGTTATTTAGAAATACATTTATACATATATATGAAGATATATGTATGTAATAATACACAACTAAACATTAAAATCGAAAATCACTTTTTAGTTTGAATAACTTTTTAGTTTGAATAAACCAAACACACACACACACACATACACACACACATACATACATACATACATACACACACATACATACCAACGCACGTGTGTGAACATAGCAATGATGAACTGTTGAACCGCGAGGCGATGATGGATAACATGATGCCAAACAATTTACTGCTACGTACAATAATCTCAATACAATTTTTGTCTATGTTTAATTGCGTATTTAATTGTCTTGGTATGTTTCTGTGTGCGCGCGTGCGTGCGTACGTGTGTGCGTGTGTGGTATGTGTATGTTTGTATAATTGAATAATTGTGAGCAAATTATACCAATGCATGTTCAAGCGATAAACAAGTTTTATTGCTGAATTTTATGACTATGTTGACTCTAACAAAAAGTTACTAACGCAAATGATATAGTAATGTTAATGATGATGATTTAATGGTATCAATGACAAAATCGAAAATGATAACAATTTTGATGGTGATTATGACCTGAAGTCTCGAAATTTCTACTCACAGTGATGATGATGATAATTTTTAATGATGATAATGATAATGATAATAATCACTAATTTTTAAAGATGATGACGACGACGACGATGACATTAAAGATAAATGCAACAACAAACAACTGCCTCACAATAAAAACAACAATAACACTATCGATAAGAACAATAAGCTACCGTCATAACGATGGTGATAACAAATGATAAGTGCCATCTTATTGCTCAGTAATAAATAAGAAGGGTCATCAAACCTTTCTGGTAAATTTTCATTCAAGTCAGTCGTAGTTTTCAGCATGTTTCACACACACACGCACTAAAACTGACACTATTTCATACCTGTACAGTGCGTGTATTTACACATGCACACGTACATGAAAGATGTTTCAACATAATTAAATGTAAGACATAATTGTACACCGCTTAGATGGATAAACTCAAACTTGACAAGTAGACCAAACTGGACATTACACGAAAACACACACACACACACACACACACACACACACACACACACACACACACACACTGATTCGTGCTCTCTCACACACCATACACACACACAAAACACACACATACATTCACACACACATAAAACACAGACACACGTGCTGACTTGGGAAAAAATTCTTTATGCCTGGGTTACGAAAAAGGCACTGAGAAAAAGAGCGCGCACGCTGAAATATCTTTGTTGAGCATGTGTGGATAGATAGGATGCTGAATGATTGAAGCTAGCACTACTACTTCTATTTCTTCATTAATGTGCTCATAAAACTCAGTGCATTTTTGGATTCTCATATTATTTCTTCTTCTTATCTTTATTTTTTCTCCCATTTTATTGTTTATTTATTTATTTATTTTTTGTAGATGTCGGCTTGTTTAATTAAATAATTTATTGGTGCTTGCACATTTATTTTTTATACGATGTAAATTTTTATTCAGAATTTTTTTTTTTTTTTTTTTGAAAACATCGATCAGATGCATTAATGGTGAAAAGATTATTACTATTAGTAGCAAACAGTTTTTTATCAAGAAACTCAATCAATACTTAGTGCCTTATGAAACGAAAACCTTTCCATGGATAAAGTGGTGATATCAATTGGTTTAAAAAAATTATAATGGTGATGAAAAACTATAATAATAATAATCACTATCATCATTTTCATCATCATTTTTATCATTGAAATCATCATTATCTTCTTTCTCCTTCTCCTCTTTCTCATCATCATTTTCATCATCACGGTCGTAACCAGCATCCTCTCCATCATTATCATTACAATCCTCATCAACATCATCATCATCTTCATAATAATCATCAACCTCTTCATCATCAACATGATCATCATCGCTACCATCACGGTCATAATCATCATTAACATAATCATCACCATCATCACCACCATCATCATCATTACCATCATCATCACCACAATCATCATCATTACCATCATCATCATCATGACCAGGGGTGAGGTGATGAATGGAGGATTTGGATTGGTCCTCGACGGAACGAAGGACGCCTCTGAAAGAGCACGTGACATGTTGACCTGGGATGTTGCTAATGGGGTGTGTAATCGTTTTACCCTTATCACCACAATCACCATCATCATCATCAACACCATCCTCATCCTCATCATCATCATCGTCACCATCATTATCATGATCATCATCGTCGTCGTCACCATCGTTACCATAACCAAGGTATCAAGAAGAAGTTGGTCTGGCAGTGAGAAAGCCCTGAGGACCATTAAGAGAGCGATGGAAAAAAATGACCATCTACTTGTCACCCTGCCAGAACAACCTGACCTTCAAACTCTCAAGGTCATTGACGATCTTGTGAAAAACATCTGATGATGATGATGGTGGTGGTGGTGATGGTGATGATGGTGATTCTGGCAATGGTTTTGCTGATGGTGGTGATGAAGATGATGATGATATTGATATAAGTGCTGCAGACAAGAATTTTTATAATGGTATGGTGGTGATGAAGATAATTATGAAAAACGTCGTTTATGATTATAGTGATAATGATGACGACGACGATGATAATGACGTGATTGTTGAAGACGTTGATGTTGATTTTATTTGTGCTATGACGTCAGAGATGATTAAGCAACTGATAATGATTGATTGATTTATTGATTGATTTGATTGATTGATTATGATTATCACAATGATTGCAAACATTGTGGTATGATGAAACATGATTTGCATATGGTTAACAGGATTTTAAGAACAAACATGATCTTGAAATAAAATCTTTAATCAAATTTTATTACGCTGATGATGATTTAACGTTATGCCAAACCGGGAATGAATGAACGAACGAACGAACGAACGAACGAATGAAGGAAGGAATGAATGAATGAAGGAATGAATGAAGGAATTTATTAGTTAGTTAATTAATTAATTTGTTGAATTTATATAATTGATATATTTAAACTGCAAAAATTAATTTCGTTTTGAGTGTAGGAGCTGTCTTGCTATTAGAGTTGTTGTTATTGGATGGGCACATGTTTGTCCATGGAAGTGAATGTTTGTTGGATCATACCGTGCGATGTTGTTAACGTTTTTGTCATTTTTTAAAATAAATCATTTGGAAGCATTCTAAAAATAAAATATGAAATATCTACAAGGCGTTTTTTAAATATTCTAAACAATTCATTTCTTTCTCAAATTTATACTATGTTTATCTAAGATACGCGAATTTCATTAACCAGAAATTTTCTCATATATCCAGCCGTCCATCCATCTATCAATTCATCCATACATTCATTCATTCGTTTATTCATTCGTGCATTCATTCATTCGTCCATTCATCCATGCATGCATGCTTCTGTGTACTTTTCAGCTCGATCTATTTAGAGAAACAACACTGCACTCAACTTGTATTTTCAACGTTGGGTAATAAATTTGAAGAGAACAGCAGCAACAACAACAACAACAAACAACAACAGCAACAAACAGCAACAAAAAGGAGGACAACAACACGCGATGAGCCACATGCAACACTACAACCTTCCACAACTTCCAACTACTACAACACATTCTTTATCTGTTCGTTAACGCAAACGTGTGTGCGCGTGTGTGCACACGTTCGTGTGCCCCTGCATGTGTGTACGTGTGTATCGGAGGCTGTGTGCACGTACAAGCAATAACCGGTACAAAATTATTATAGTATCCAGTAGTTTGCATATTCCATTAGGAAAAAAACAATGATTATTTGTTCATCTGGTTCTCGTTTTAATAGGAAGGTTTAAAAAATGTTAGTACATGCATGTGTTGGCTTTTTGAGTACCAGACTTATATCGTTGTTGCTAAAATATCTTGCATAATCTAAGCAGTTGGTGAGAATTCATTGATGAACTTTTTTTTGCAAGCAGACTCAGTTTTAAGCGTACGTTACGTTCAAGTGCCACATGAAGAGTGAGACAAAATGGCAGACAGTGATGCAAACTGTGGTTTGGTCGATAAAAGTTACCCACAAATGAACAAAGAATGTGGTGAGATTTGATGAGAGGAAAATGTTCACACGTGTTACTCTGGCGTGAGTGGGCGATTATAATTTGTGCATCGGAAGACAGGTTGAAAAGAAAGGCTAAATTTCAAGCAGACAAAGAAGACATATGTTAGACAGAAGACTAAAACAAAGACACACATACAGACACGCACACACACACACACATTGATACAAACATACTGACACGCGGGCATGTACTCAGTGCGTTAAATCTCAGCTGAACGTTACGCGTTAGAATGAATTTCAGCGCAACTCTCTTTACGTGTTTCAAAGTTTGTTCGTTCGTCAGCTTCTGCATTTGCTTGTTCGACCGTTTTCTTGCAAATACGTGCATGTTTGTTTGCCTGTTTTTTCAGGTATGTGTTTGTGACGATCGTTCATTTGTTCACTCTTTTGCCTGTTTGTTTGTTCTCCAGCCTGCCCAAACAAACATGTTTGTCTGCTAAAATTTTTTCTCGTATTTGTCTCTGTATGCTTTTGGGCGCAAAGTCATAACACTACATCAGAGACGTGACTTTGAAATCGCCACACACAGGTTCACACACACACCCACAGGTTCACACACACGCACAGGTTCACACACACGCACTCACACACCTACGCACACGCGCGCACTGCAGTTAACGAGTAAAAAAGAAAAAAGAATACGTGGAATGTAGGAAGAATGTTGAAAATTATAAAGGAAGCATTGAGAAGGTTGTAATTTTAAAGTTTGCACATTTTCAAACTTTAGTTGCTGATACATCACGCTGCTAAATGGCAATAATAATATTTTAAATAGAGGAAAAAGGCTGAAAAATGATAGGGCTAAAATATGATGTGTTTTTTTTCTGTTTGGAAATGTTCATAATTTTGAAAATTCAATTCAATTTATGATAGTAGGTTCAATCAAGCCATTAACTTATAATTCGTTTCCTGGTTTGTTGGTGTTTGTAAAACATATAAATCCATTTTCATAAGATATGTTGATTTATTCTCTCGTTCATTTTTGACTATCAGCAGGTCGGTGACAAATTAATTGAAATTATTCACCTGATAGAAATAACACCTGCATTGTTTAAGATTGAAACTTTTTATTGATGACTCAATACTTTTTGAAATTTTAGCCACGTTTGGCAGCATGCAACAACACAATACATACAACCGATGAATTGTGTATTTATGTATATACAAATTTAATGGTATCCCACATAAATAATTTGAACAATAATGACGAAAAAATACAATACAAAAGGTAAAGAAAGTTAACCCTAAACTAATCAAAAAATTGTATGTATGAATATCTCAACTTTAACTTTATAATATAATCAAATCAATTCGAAAATACTTTTAATCGGTAAATTTAAAATTTGTATACTTTGTATTATATATTTTTTCATGAAATTTATGCTGCTAAATAATTTCTCGTTTCATTTCGTTTCGTTTCGTTTAAAAGCGCTCATATAAAAAAGAATAACATCAAGGCATACAGTTTATATACAATAACAGTAAGGGAACATGCAACAAAAGTAATAACAAAAGGCACGCCATATTAATAATAATAATAAACAAAAATAGTGCGATACATCTACTACTACTATTACTCCTGCTACTACTACTACTACAACTAATACTACTACTGTTACTACTACTACTGCTACTACTACTACTACTACTACAACTACACTACTACTACTGCTACTACTAATACTATTACTACTACTACTGCTACTACTACTACTACAACTACTTCTACTGCTGCAGCTGCTTCTATTATTACCACTATCACTACTTCTGCAAATGTTAACTTTTTAAAAAAAATTGGTCACAAAAAGTAGCGATGAAATTCTTTCAATAGCATCTCCTACCAAACGAGCAAATGTAAGAAGAAATTATTAGATGACAAAAACGTTAAAAATAAAAATATGACAACACGATTGAGTGAAAGAAAATGAAGTGGAATTAATAAAAAAAAAGCAAACAGTAAAAACAATAATAAGAATAATAATTATGAATAATTACACATCACACGCTAGCATTCTTTTTCATTCATTCCATCATTTACTCTTTCCAGGCGCATGCGCCGAACACACGCACACGTATACATACAGACGTAACGTACACACACGCACATGCAACGTACACACACACACGCATGTAACGAACACACACACAAACATGTACAAACATATTCGTACACACAACTCCACAGACAAAAACACGAAAGAGAAACCTCAAACACACACACACACACACACACACACACATACAAACTTATACAAACTTTGTTTGCCTAAGTTCGTTTATATATGTGTGTAAGTGTGTCTATATGTGCGCGCGTGTGCTACTGGGTGGCATTGGATGTTTAAAAATAATCGTAACGGCTGTTATGGTAACGTAATGAGCAGGTGCTTGGCAATGTTACATATTTATTTGGGCGTTTTTCATATCATATACATAGTATGTATTTCGTGTACACACATGTTTGTTTATATGTATATATAAGCACGCACACACACATTCACATATACGTGTATGTGTTTGTGTTGTATATAAGACTTGGATAATCATAGCTTACACATAAACACATATATAAATTTTTATACAGGCATAATATAAATAATTTAATTTGGTAGGTCATCAAATGGATGATATATAAAATGATAGTTTAACGCTCTGTGATATAACAATGAAACATAACACAATACAGCATAACATAACACAATAAAACCAGGAATATTTTTTTTATATGTGGCGATACTAATAAATCAAAAACAATTGAAACCTGTATTGGCGCATGTTTTTTGAGTGCCATTCTTTCTAAATTTTTGTGTATATCTGTGTACTTGTATGTAATTCTCTGTATGTATTTTCGTATGTGTTTGTGTGAAAGTATTTTTCGAATGTATCTGTATTTTTATTTCGTCTTTAACATCGTGGTCCGTTGAAAAAGTTTACATAGTTTTATTTTTGAAAATTATTCAATACATATTCTATAATTACTTAACAAGTAGCAATGAAGTTACAGTAATAATAATATAATAACCTTTAATTGATTTAAGAAAAGCAGTAATTTGTTATCTATATTTATTTTGACCTAATTACATATATTATTAATAACATTTTATAAAGTCATAATACATAAAATTTGAATAATATCAACAACACACAAATACATGTTATACAATGAATGTACCGATTAATTTGTTGGTCTAGCTTAATTTGAGCTAGTATATTCATTTACTGATGTCTTTTATCACATGCCAGTATAACACGCGATGTACAGATATTGGTATTCGGTTGTAACATTATATCGGTCGGTTATTTGATATTCGATACAAGTATTTTTCAA